ATTGATGCCGTTACAGGAATTGTTCGGGTTCTCACCTATACCACGTCTTGTTTGGTAGTCTTGGTTACGCAATGATACCAAAAGCTGTGTGTGTCCGTGAGCGTGACAGCATTTCCCCATAAGAACGGTCACCATCAAGACATCCATCAAGTTGCCTACCATGAAACTGTAAAGAATTGGGGTTGTGGCGTCACTTCAGGGTCAGCATATTAACTCATTTAAGAGCATTGACGTCGTGGTTCTCAATTCACTGCGTCTATGCATGACAGAAATGCAAAGTTCCTATCACTTACTACTTGGCACAAATCGTATTCTAGTTTCACATACCAGCCAGGATACTTCGACCGAAAGTATTTTTCATTAGAACTTGCACCCTCGTAAACCATTTTCTGTCTTCCCCAAACTGTTCTCGTTGGCTTATACCTATGTCAACAAGCGTTAACCTTGAGTGGCGCTCACATCAGAGCTCATCAGCAATGCATTTGCTTGGCCATGTCGGGATTCAAACCCCGAATATCTGACTGCAAGGCTAGCGTGCTACCACTAACCTCTCACAGTAGATGCTGGATGCATATCTGAACAGACAAATGTGTTCCCCCTTGAGCGATGTGACTAGGCTGTTAAACCGATCAAACTGTCTTGGCCGTGCTACTCGTTTGACACTTTCAGGCAGTTTGCGGCTTGCTGTACAGTTTTTCATCAGTTGGTGATTAACTGATTATACCTTACACAAAAAATACTCGAGTCTAGTGCATCCTCACCCCGAAGTGAACTAACGGGAATAACTGGGCCAAGACCGGAAGGGAACTGTTCAGATTTACGTGGGGAAAAAAGATGTACAAATCGCGTAATCAAGAACAACAACAACCAGTCCATTCTAAGTTCCTTTCGTCAACTAATCACAATAACTTTTGTCCATTGCCTGTTGTCAATACTCGACTCTAAAACTGAAAATTTGATGGGTGTTTAAAAAACTGAGATTCCAAGGAGGGTTAGGTTGTCTTGGTAGTGACTAGGTGAAGTGCATGGTGGAGTTTTTTTCTGTATTGTCCTTCAGTAACAGGTCCTAGTTTCTATTATCATGATAGGCCACTGGCAACGTCGATGGAAATCCATCGGCAAATCGTCATGAGGTTGTAAAACTGTAGCGTGGGATGCCAACAACAACATGCGTATATTGAAACCGAAACCAAGGCACAAGTCACATGAGGTACAAAAAATAGGTCGAGGTCACTCAGGGAGGAGTGTACAAACGGGCTACTCCTTCGTGTCTGGGGCTCGTGGTACCTGGGTACCTGGAATAGGGAGAGAGAGAGAGGTGCACATGAAGTCATATGATTCATATGCAAGCAGATACAGTCGAGTTTCAATTAAGTTACAGTATATTTGGGCTTCAAGCAATCAATAAATTAGTCTGAAACTAACGCTCTTGTCTTATATGTGCTCAATTTAGTGGTAAAGAGCAAAATGAAACTGACGGAATTCGTGGTATGCTCTCATCCGATAGACTAAAAACAGAGCGAACCTGGTAGCGGGCTATTTGTTGTCAATCAGGTAGCTCTCGATATGTTCGCGGAGCTTGGCAACTGAATTGCGAGCGTTTTGCATCCATATGAGGAGATATCGTAGGGGCGCAGTACAGAGTGAGTACTTTCTCTTTTTCCTGAGTGCGTTTATATACCGTTTGAAGGTTATCCGTTATCTCTTAATGTGATTGACTGACCGAATTCGTTTATCCGTCTGTTATACCAATGCCTTGAGTCGATAGGTTATCTCAATGCCTTCTGTTTTGAGTTGTTACTTCCTTAATTTTGATCGGCCTCCTCTCAATCTGCTCTGCGTTGTGGTCTGATTTTGAAAGTGATCAGTTGTTTTGACTGCCCTATTTTCTCCATTTTAACGGCTGGTGTCCCTGCGTCTGTCTGTACTTCGATTTATTGGCTTGGCACCTCTGTGAATCAAATTGATTTGGCTGGTTTTTGCTTTTTCTATGAGTCCCTTGTTTGCTTTCTTCGGCAGATTAGAGCTAGAGTATGGAGTATGGAGTTCCCTTGGTCTTACTGTTTGATAAATGGAGTCAATTTAGTTTTGTTTGTTGAGAGCTACTTCATCGCACTGAGCCACATCCTCGTGGTGCCAACCGGGTAGCCTGGACGTTAGTCTGGGTGAGATGAGAGTTTAGCAACTCCAGACATGGCTGTTTAGTTACACTGTTTTTTACCTTCGACAATTTACCATACAAATCATCTGGCGCCCCCACACCAGTTCCAACCAGTACACAGGAGAGACTCGTGGGGCTCACGTGTGAGGAATGCGGCGAGTGCTGAGAATCGAGAGCTGACTTGTTAGCTCACCGTCGAGTTCACGTCCATGAAGATGTTGGCACGAACCTGGTCACCCACCTGGTCTGCATTGATTGTTTCTGCCTTTTTTCGACAAAGACCCAGTACACAGGAGAGACTCGTGGGGCTCACGTGTGAGGAATGCGGCGAGTGCTGAGAATCGAGAGCTGACTTGTTAGCTCACCGTCGAGTTCACGTCCATGAAGATGTTGGCACGAACCTGGTCACCCACCTGGTCTGCATTGATTGTTTCTGCCTTTTTTCGACAAAGACTGGCCTCAGTCAACACCGCCGGCACGCACACCCATCCAACATAATGCAGGTAGGCTTGGTCGAGTGAAGAATTCCCGTATCCGCTGGTCCAAACAAGAGTCACAAGCAGTTTTTTGTCTGGCTAACAATTTGTATCCGTCTTGCTACACGCAAACCGCGCTGTTCGTGAGTTTGGAACAATATTTCCCCGGTTGTTCGGCTGTCAGCATCAAAATCAGGATACGTGTGCTTAACTGGCAAGCACAAATGGGCTAATTATCATCTTGTGGCCCTGACCAAACCATTCGCCTGAAGTTAATGGCTACAGCGTCTGGTCTAAGTAAACCGTGGATTGCGCCATGTCACTCTTGGAATCCCATACTGACAGTCCGCTCGCTAGTGTTGACCGGGGCACCGGGGTAATTCCTCTCATTTCCGGACCACCATCATATTTTCACACACTTTGAATCCTGTCTTCTGACGCCGTCTCCAGCTAGCCCATCGTGCGCCGGCCAACCGAGAGCAGATCCGCCGAGCCAACTACGCCGCCATCCAGAGCTTATATTTACCAAAGACGAAACTGTAGCGCCTACTGCGCTCCATGAGTCGCGAAAAGATCCACACAAAGGTAGCTGCAGCCTATTTCTGAACGCCGAGCAGTACTGGGAACAAGGGCCCTCTGCTTCAAAAGGCCTGGATAGCTGGCCAAGTCACGCAATGCACCAACCCGAACGGAGTTTAATCGAGCCAGCTACCGTTGGGAAAGTCAGCCGTACGATTCGTTTAATCGGCGATTCGTCCCCAGACCTGGCCAAGGGCACTCCCAGGATGCTTCGCCCGTTTAATACCAACGCGGTCGTTGGGTATTTCAACTTACTCTTATTAACTGGGGGTTGTCCGCCGCATGTGCATCAGGCTCGCATTACTATAGTTCTGGAGAACTTAGATCCGACTTCACCGGATCAACTGAGAACGATCTCCTTGTCATCCATTCTTGTTCGATGCTTCCATAAGGTGCTTGCTGACCTCTGGAGCCGTAGACTGCAACCGCCCTTACTCCAATTTGCACTTCTGCATCGAGTCAATTGTTTGGAACCTACATCATTGTTATACACTCTGCTTCATTGCCCTTGAGCGCCTGCTTCCAAATTCAGCTTGGCACCTGTTGATATTCCGAAGGCGTTTGACTCGGTTTCGCATGAAAAAAATTGTCAGATCCGCCGAGGGGTTTGGAGCACTCTCACCCGGAGATGGTCTGCACAACCACTTTGTCGATCAGGATTTTCGAGAGTCGGTCGCTTTGTCTCTCCCGAATCGATGGCTTGCAATTCCCCAGGCCTGGACAAGCTCACACCCAGGACGCTCCGCCGGTTCAATGCTAATGTGCTCGCTGGGTATTTCAACTTATTTTTGTTATCTGGGGGTTGTCCCCCACATCTGTGTCGAGCCCGTATTACTCTAGTTCCGAAGGTCCCACATCCGACTTCATGAGATCAACTGAGACCGATCTCCGTGTCATCCATTCTTGTCCGTTGCTTCCATAAGGTACTTGCTTTAGTTTGCATTTCTGCATCGAGACGGCTGTTTGGAAGCCACATCGCTATTGTATGCTCTGCTTCGTCACTCTTCAGCGACTGCTTCTAACCTCAGCTTGGCGTTTGTTGATATCTCGAAAGCGTTCGATTCGGTTTCGCATGACAAAATTGTCAGATCTGCCGAGGGGTTTGGAGCACTCTCACCCGGAGATGGTCTGCACAACCACTTTGTCGATCAGGATTTTCGAGAGTCGGTCGCTTTGTCTCTCCCGAATCGATGGCTTGCAATTCCAGGACGAGTGCTTCCTAGGATATTCATCCGCGTTATCTAGCTCCGATGCAGCCTGGTTTGGACGAGAATTAGAAGCGTCAGGCGAAGTCATGGTGGTCAGATGAACTTCTATCGTGGAAACTGTGATGTGCAAAGTCTGCAGTTCTGTCGCCTCACGCAGGACGCTAGATGTGATCATCATAATCGGGTTGCAAAGGAACTTGCGAAATATCTCCATCGCCTGGGATAGACCGTCTTTGAGGAGTATAGAGCACCAGCGTCGACGTCCTCCGTCGAGGATGACCTAATTGCTATTTGGGAGAGCCGAGCAACTCCGAGCAACTGCGGAGTGAGTGTGTGAAATGGAAAAAAGCAGAAGTACGGTGTTTTTGATTGTTCCTACGCATCACCCCAGCCCAAAGTGCAATCGGTTGTGATGTTGACGTTTTGGTCCATCAACCGATGATAATCTCTTATCGAGGGATCTGCTTTCCTGAACATGTCAAGGCTGTAATTGGACTGGGACTTCCTAAGTTAACAGTTGGTGACTTGTGTTTGCTCGGACTCTCTGCGTACTTACGACACTTCTATGAGTGAAACATGGCATCGAGTGTACATTCCTGTCATGGAATTTTACACATGACCAGTATGATGAACACTTTGTGCCTGATGTTCCAGTCTTGACTGTGCTAGCGCTTACAGCGCCTTGAAGAGCACCTATATTGTTCATCCTTTCTTCCGTTTCTGGATTTTATACGCCTGTTTCTTCTCGACGGACGTGGGAAGTTCTACGGAATTGGATTTCTTATTCTGTGCTGGGTGGCCATTCACATCCGAAGCAATTAGCTGCCGGCTATTTGATCAAGGTCTGTTGAAAATCACAGATACTATCAGGCCATAGCAACTAATTCAACCTCGGCCCACTCTTCAGATAACTAGGCCGGTCTTGTTGCATTACTGCTGTGAAATAAAGGGGTCAAAACGAGGAGACACTAACTAGAAGGCTGACAGCTTTTGTTCTGAATCCAAAACTCGTTATAGCCGATGAGTCCTAATAGGACGAAACTAAAATCGAGTGCTTCCTCAATTTGATAGGGCTCCACGGAAATAGTCGTACCAAGGCAGAAGAACCGTTCACGCAAGAGTGGTGTGGATGCAAATTCAAGGTGTGATCGAAATCTAAAAAGTCCAGCCACACAACTGCGTTCTTCTTTATTCAGACTCGTGAAGTGGGCGTGAAAGGATTGACCCCAGGACCCTTTGATCACCATATTCAGACTGCTCAGTTTGCACAATGCGTCTACCGACCAGCTTGTCTGGCTGGTGAATAACATTTAAAGTATGATTTTTGGTATAGCCGACTGCTAACTAATGCAGACATTTCACTTTTTGTGGACAGAAAGATTTGTCCAGCTAGTAGTCGATCCTATCGGAGAATCGTACAGTTATCAAGCTATGGGTGTGAAATTTAACCCCACGTCTTTACTGAAACTATCCGCTTGAATTCCAAGTCTAGTTCTTGCAAAAACATCAGGTCCCCAGGGGATTCAAGCACTAATCTGACAATTTTTTGGGTAATATTACGACAGTTTCAGTCATGGAAACAAAAATCTATTGCCTTGTGTTTTGTAACAATGTCATAGTTCCGGGTGATTGGATCAGACCGATGGACCGGTTTTCCATTAAAATGTGGAAATCTGGATTAAGAGGAAGTAGGCGGAAATCCCTGCTTCTAGTTCATTCAAACCACTCGCCTTCAACCATGATTGCACTGGTAGGTTTGTTGTCTGACTGACCGGGTAACACGGGAGCCACTGACCTCAGCTTCATATACACTTCTAAGGTCTGATCCTGCTGTTTCAACCTCCAAACCGTTTACCTACGCAGTCGGTGGATGACGGTCTCGTCGGATTCGTTGACCGATTTATGCGAGGGAGTAAAAAGTGGAGGACAATGGTGCGCATGTTCTACCATCATCAAAACACCGAATAACGCCTTCAGTGTTAGAAATCTGTTGTTACTATTCGGTTTATTGGAAATTCCCCGGGGTGATCGATTGCTTGCCTGATTGATTTATTAAATGGAGTTGCTGATCTAGTGCACATCGTGATGATACACATAGAAATATGCAAGCAGACAATTCAAGCTACTTTTTTTCGTCAGTAGCACGAAAAACCACAGACATTCGTCAATGACTTATTCCAGTGTGCATGGCTCCTAGTAAAACTAGCTCGGAAACACAATTCTTCTTAATGAGAATCTGGGAACGGGCTGGAAACACACCGAGAACGTCCCTTAGTATGGTACGAGGAAAACACATCAACTTATGCATAATCTGCAACCAACAGCAGACGAACCCTCGTAATGCACTACTCATAAGGTTGCTGAAAATTCATCGACAGCCCACTATCGGTTTCACCCTTTTTGGGGCTCATCAGGTAGGCGCAGTCCCCGGGTTTCCGTCAACCTTATGTTCCACTTGAAACTAAATTGCACGAAATTAGCCAAATACACTCATTTGCAAACTGCTGTGGTTTTTCGAAGGACTCATCTGGAACCTAGCTGGTCGACGAACTTGCTTCATGCAGTAATTGACTCATTCACAATGTTTCTTTTTGTATGACTGTCTGGCACAAGATATTCAGAGTCATTCAGTTGCTGCACAAACTTATGCTTTGGACTTTCTTCCCAGAGAACAAAGAATGTTTTACAGTATACCCAATTTGACAAACTGACAGGGTTGAGGTTGGCCATTTTCGTCCAACTGACCGTCGTCCACCACCACTTACAATATACTATCAAGTGTTTTCAGATATTACACATCTGCTCGCTTTTGCACACCTTTCCCGTTCAACTTCGAGTCTGTTATGCTGGTGAGTGCTGAGTAGACCACTTGGATTCTAGTTACTACTGCTCTTTAAACAATCTATGCATTCTAGAAAGCATATTACTGTATTCCGCGTTTATGATTTAAGGATGCCCATTTACAGTAATATTCGTGAAGACGATTTGCGGTCAACCAGTGTAACCACTAATTATTCAGTAGTATGTCACCACATTGGTTTCAGTCCGGCATATCTCTTCTTATTAAGCATCCTACCGTGCCACAGCCGATGCACATCTAGCGAATGCACTTTATTCTACAATTGATTTGATAAGCCTCAGTGAGGATAGAAGGCACCTTGTGGCTTGGAATTTCAAAATCCGACCATGACTAACAGCAATTAGGTGGCTGCCTAATTATCGATTTCTCCTGTCTAAGCCCGAGCAAGCTGGTAGTATCCCATTGAGCTGCACAGCATTTATGCACCACGGCTGAACGATTACTGTTATTACCATTATTATTGTAATTATTAGGTGACCATTCAGGCAGAACCATCCACTCGTTTACCAGTAGCCAACGAGCTCTAGTCAGGTTTCACTTACCACTTAAGAAGCATCTTTAGACATCCATTCAAATTTGTCCTATAGCTGGATCACAGTAGTGATGTGCGCAATAGCGAGAACCACACATCTCTCAGCGTACCTTAACGTCACATCGGAACGTGTGGATATTCTCGTCAGGAGGTTTTGCGTTGCGTGAGAATTACGAGGTTTTGTTGTAATTCTTGCCAAAGCACTTTATACAGCCTAGTATGTGTATAGAGGTTCATCACGTGCGCCTATGTAGTTTAGTATGAGGTTTATTACGACCCAATTGTGTCCGACAAGGTACACTTTCTGTTCAGGATTCATGGAACATACCACAGTGATTTCATGACATACTTCAACTAGTTGTTCCGGCCCATATCACTGCTTTTTTGTAGTGCAAAATACAAACCAATAGAGTATACTGTAAAAATTAGTCACTGGCATTATTCAATATGACACAGGTGCCCTCTGTCCTTCCAGTGAACGTGTGAAGTGGACTAAACGATAATGAATCTTTAGCTAGACAATGAACTGTTCCTGGTCATTTAACGACGCCATGGGTGGAGAAGTCCCAGGAATAGAAGCGCTCGAAGTTTTATTGGAGCACTTAAAGTCCATTAAACGAATTCGACTGTGGAGCTCATTAAGGTCTCAGTAGGTCAAATGCGTTGGTGTTTAAGCGCCCCACTACCCAACTACGCAATGATATCATTTGGGTTGGTGACGGAAAGCTGGCAGAGGCTGTGGAGCTCATTAAGGTCTCAGTAGGTCGAATGCGTTGGTGTTTAGGCACCCCACTACCCAACTACGCAATGATGTCATTTGGGTTGGTGATGGAAAGCTGGCAGAGAAACAACCAAGCCCGCAAAACACCTGAGCTGCCAAGAACTGAGTAACACGGGACTCACCCACGTACTAGTATCGCGTTCTGATCTTTTCTTGCCGATCCTATCAAAGACTTTTGCCACACCGTTCTCGAAGAGTCAGGGCCGGTCCACCTTGGAAATACACTAGACCATGGCAAACCGGAGAAACGAAATGCCGACTTTCAGAGTAAGAAAACACTGCCTAAGTGACCTGACAGGTTCCGTAGAGGATATCTGTAATAGAGGTATTTTTTTCCTATGACGTCATATGGTCGAGGGCAACTTCAGTCAGACGAATACCCTTCTTGGGCTCATCAGGTTTGTCTAACTCCCGAGCTTCCATCAGTCTCATTTCATTCTTGAACATTAAATCGAGTTATGTTGCAACAGAGCTTCATTTGCAAATTCAGCTGAGGAACTGAGCTAAACATCCACTTGAAACCCTTGTTTATGGTATTGTCATTTCAGGATGACTTGATGACCTTAGGGAATTTATTTTCCCCCATGCAGTAGCGGTTCCACTCGGTTTGTATCCTTCCCTTCGTTTCGGCTAAAGTAGCATATTTCAAACCTGGTCAATTTCCTTATGAATTCCGCGTAAGCTCTGTCATGCTATTGGTCCAACGTCCCGCAGATGCATACAACGCCAAAGTCGTATGCCATTGCCGAGCGCAGCATGAATGATGATTTTCCTATCGGTTGGAAGCTTAACACATGACCTTAGTTCGACTCACTTTCGTACCACAATATAGGACAATTTTATGCTCACCCTGCCTTCTCAGATTAGCTTTACTCTGTTTGGATTTTGGCCGAGCCTGCTGTGTAGTTACCAAGCTCGGTGAACAGACCCACAATCAAGCAACTCATCCAAGCTACCTATATCCTGCAACATTGCCGCAGTTTTACCCTAGTATCTACAGAATTCCATCACGCAGACGGCCGAAGGAAGGCTAGTCCCCGGCGATACTATCCGCCATATTTTCAAGAGACTTTTCATCGTTGGTGATTAGTCACCCCGCCCCAGAATCCAGGGTTTTGCCCCTGTCCTCAACTGGCGTTTACCGCCATGCGAGGAGGCGAGCAACAACAAGAACCAAATTATTTCAATTCAGTAATTATAAGGTTGCTGAAAATTAGTCGACAGCCCACGACCGATTTCGCCCTTCTTGGGACTCATCAGTTAGGCACAGCCCCCGAGTTTCCGTCAACCGTAGGTTTTGGTTGAAACCGAATTGCACGAAATTTGCGAAATACACTCATTTGCAAACTAATTCGGATTTTCGAGAGACTCACTTGGAACCCGGTTGTTGGCTGTCGACGGATTTGCAGCAACCTTTTGGCGTTACATTACAAATATATACATGTATCGCGATATCTCGAATATCGTAGCGACTGCAACATGAGGCGGCCTGGTGCAGCACATTCAGCTGCCTGAGAACATCACAAACGAGAGATTCAGCTGGGTTGCAGGTGAGTCTCTCGAAAAACCAAATTAGTTTGCAAATGAGTGTACATTCGCTAAGACTACTAAATGTTTTTAAGTCCGTGAACGTTTATCATCATGACTAATTCAACCAACGACACGGATAGATGTTGAGAGGAAGGAAACCTCATCGATGGCACGACACGTGATGCAGACATGCCAATAGCCCTAACCAAATGCTTCAATCACGATACTGGCACGTGATATGAACTCAGTAATCTTAGCTATTGCCGAAAAAGTATTGATTAGACCAGCTTGTCCAAAGGACAATAACTGGAATGGTGGATTTAGTCCCGTAATAAGCAGTGGCCTATTTTTGTACTGATTTTATAACGTGCGTACTGCTTAATCGATCGCATTTACATCACCACTGTGAACAAATCAGAGTATTAGTATTTTCTAGGTCGTAAGAATCTTAATGGATTGACTGTAAAATCACAACATGAATACAATAAAATAGAAAAATAATAAAATAATGATAGTAGAATAAAAAACGAATGAATAAAAGGGTAAATAATAAATAAGGGGTAAAATAAGTAACAGATTGTCTTTCAGCTCAAGGCTGAACTTAGAGGCCCCTTGATTTGGTAGTGTGTGACCAAATTTTGTTTAGTCGGCTGTTTTTGGATGAGACCCATGCTACTTCAATGGGATTCCGAATTTTAAGTACGTCAAACCCAAATAAGAAGCCGACTGCCGGGTAAATCAATTTTTTAATTAACTCTGGCTAAGATACCCTTAAACTGTTTTCGGAATCTTGCCACAAGTCGGTTGGGAGTTTGAATTACGATCTCGTCCTTGCTGAGAGGAATCTTAGACAGAACAAATGTCTTTGGAAGGAGGAACAGACCCCGACTGACGTTGATAAAGCACCACTCAGCCCATGAGTAGCCGAAAATGTTTACAACGACGCAAAAACCAAAACATTTTATTGAATCTATCGATTAAATTAATGAGTGTTTTCAGACTAGTGCACGAAGTATGACAAAAATCAACAAATTGGACTAAAATAAACTTTTTGTTGCAAGCTCCGATACCGGGTAAATGTTGTTGGTGTAGGTAAATTTTTCTAAATGAGAGGCCACCTCAGAAGCCGCCACCCTGGTGGTCGCCTTGTTTCGGGAGGGATAAATTCATCACTCAAAATCATCGACAATCAATTATCATTATCATAAGTTATCAGCTCATGTAGGTAACCGCTCGTGCGCTCGACTCAGTTGAGACCAGAAGGATTTAGGTTCGAATGTATTTGGTCTGAATTCTATTAGAGGTGATGACTTTCTGACACCACTGATAACCGTGTATTCATGCACCAACTTACCATCTCCCGTCTCCAATGCGCAGGTACCTACCCAACCCAACCCCACCCCAAATCAACGGTGGACGAAATTGTGGCAGCCGCAACCACTCCACGACAAGTACGCGGCCCCCATAGCTGATAATGAAGTGCAAAGACTCTTAGTTCTTACCGGAGTATTGCCTGAGTCTGGTGGGAACACCGGATCAGTAATGCTGAAATACGCCGAATGGTATTCGGAAGAAATAACTCGCCCACGATGGATGAACTGGTCATACTCTATCGGTTGCTCTGGCTTGGCCACGTGCTGCGTATGCCAGTCGATCGACTTCATCGAAAGGTTCATTTTGCAGAACGACACCCAGGGTGGAAACGAGCTAGGGGATGTCAAATAATGACTTGGTAGTGGAGTGTGATCCATTGTAAGGAAACTCAGCTGCGCTGGTCATTGCCGTCCCCCTGGTTGGGGACCGAGAGGGGCAACATCAGCCGTTGGAAACATTGTCAGACATGGCCCATTCGCGCCCTCAATGGCGCCCGTGCATCCAAGCTATTGTCTTAATGCATAGCTCCCTTCCCAATCCCCCCAACTGACAGCCCACTGACAGACCTGTACTTACGTACCAATTTGTCAGCTCCCGCCTTCAATGCACAGCCACCTACCCCACCTCTCTAAATCATCGGAGAACTAAACTGTGGAAGCTAAAACCACTGCACGATGAGTACGTGGTTCTTACAGCCCATAATTTATGATGATGACGATGATGATGAATGACTGCAAAGAGAAAAGAGCTCTTTATTACAATATCTCATGGTGAAATCCTATTTCCAATGATTCACCAACGCCATTATGATGGTCGCTTATGTGCCAGGCTACCACAACCACCGCTTCCTACTTTTTCAGATGCCTTCGAACGAACTGATCCCACTGAGTGTACATATGCTTCCGTTGGCCCTGGACTACATCCCGCTGTGTGCTTCATCCTACCCCTACAACAGAGTTCCGAGGAATCATCCACGATTATCAATTTTTGTACAAACACCCAGAGTTCCTGATTGTGTCTATTCTTGAAGTTCTATGTGACGGCATCGTACTGATACGACTGACCTACAAGTAAGATGTTGAGAGCAGAAAAATGAGGAACGGATCATCACTGGCAACTCATCAACATACGGTTCGGTTAGTAATTTTTGTGGGGGAAATGTTCATTCAAACTATTGGTGGATCAACTGGTCGTCTATTTGTTTCATAGGTATTACTATTACAATTGGCAATATTATCGACGGTATCTTGGTTAATATGATTAAGCCCTGTGAGCGACTTTGTCCACTTCATAAAATAGTCGGTAAGATATCGAAGAATCGCTTCTCTCTCAGATACTAGTGTTTTCTGTCTTTGTCCGCCATCTGTGAACATAATCCTTTTTTGAACATATCCTGTTCATTGGTCGTAGTTGTCCACAACAATTGCTAGGCACATTTTCGCCACCTTCGCTACACAATCGGGTTAGCGCTGGAAGCTGAACTTCAAACAATCGATGTCCGGCGTCTGCTGAAATTAAATTCTCGACCGAATCTATCATTGTTCACCAAGGGAGGGCTTCAATGTATCAGCGTGGCAGATTGATGATGCGCTTTGTTCAGATACCGAGTACAAATGGATGCTATCAGTTGACAAGAAATCTCTTCATGGACACAGCGCAAAAGCCACTTCTGCATGCCGTTGGAAACACAGTGGTAGAGCTTTTTCGGATCTGAAATGACGTGTGATTAGCAGTTGACCATTCTGTTCAAGAGCACACGATGGCGGATATGATTCATGATGCAAATGACCCCTCTTATAACTGAAGAAATGTCTAGATGTTTTCCACAAACCTTTCATTGATGTAGAATGTGCTACCGGGGGATTTGATAAGCATTGATTTTCTGTACCTCAATGCGGTTCATTTAGGTTTGCAGTACTGCACTGAAGGCGTCTGCTCCGTTTGCCGTTAAGTGAGCTCTGTGATTAGATGCCATTATTCATTAGCATAAAATTCGGAGTGAACCAAACAGATAGACGTCAACAGTTGTGAGGAAACAATCAAGTTCCAGAGAGGTAAGCCAGGCTTTTTTTGTTTCGGCAGCTACGTTTAGATCTGACTACTAATGAGTAGCCAGATTACTCTCGGGTTTTAACGATCCCCGGGAGGACCATTAAGCCTGTCGATTGTGCAGGTGTTGGTTCTAAGGAGGAACCAATCGTAAACAGTCTACTGTGTGTTCCATACGGAGAGCTCGACCACAATTGGTTGACGTTGTGAATTACATGCGAGACTCTGTTTACACGCGTACCCCCTGTTGTCCGCCAAAAATACTTGCAGAGGAGCTATCGATATTAATGAAACTAAATAGCGGCGTGATTTTTCAAAACAGGATATATGTATTCGTTCTTATATCTGAAAAGGGCACAAACCTTTCCTCTTTGCTGATAATCAGGCCTTGTTGTTTGTGTTCGGCAGCGGAATTCCCAAACAAAACGCGACTTGCTATAAGAGGTGGACGATCTAAAAGGTATCTTGTTTTGGACGCGCAGTCAAGTCTACTTGCATAGTGCGCTTCAAAACACTGGAGAAAGACTTCGCGGTACTTGTTCTTTCCGCAAATCCTGGAGTCAAACAGGTTCAAAGCGTATGTGCACCGACGACCTGCCACAGGACATATAATTCTACGTGATAATGCAAAAGACCGGTGCCCTAGTGCATCATTCTCGACCTTCAGGAAGCTAGCCCGCAAGGTCCAGTGATACCACTCAGGAATTGTTCCGCAGACAAAGGTCTGAATGCCTAGCCTGATAGCCGGCTAGACCCCAAGTCCTTTCTGGACTAATGCCATCAGGATCATCTCTGTGTCTGTGTCTTGAAACCCCTTATATCGGTCGTTCACAAGTAAAGAAGTCAATAACTTACCTCCATACCTTCATGGAAGAGTGGATGCTGTAGACTTGTCAAGCTACTGTGAAGGGAGATCCCGGACCGTCTCACGAAAGGTCCTGGACTAGCATTCATATTCTTTTTTGCGTTTGCTCTGTCTTGTTGTTGATGCCTTCCAAAGGCGGCCAGAAAAATTTCCCGGACGCTACTTTATTTTCCGTCATTCGTTCATTTCTTGTCTTGACTGTTGATGTCAACGGCGTTTAGTTTACCTCGGTAGAATTTTTCTAGCTTTGCGATTTCCTTTCCGTTAGTTAGTAGTCCATCGAACGCTACTTTATTTTCCGTCACTCGTTCATCCACTTTCCTGACTGTTGATGTCAACGGCGTTTAGTTTACCTCGGTAGAATTTTTCTAGCTTTGCGATTTCCTTTCCGTTAGTTAGTAAATTAGTCCATCGTTGCTAGTTGTAATTGGATGGATGTGAAGGGTGCTTTGTAGACACTTTTGTACAAATCTCTTCTGAAGGTTGAATAGAAATATGAACGACGGCGAGATTCGGGAAGCTTTCTTATCCAGTACACTCAATGCGTAAACACCGAACCACTATTCACCTGTGGAAGTCTACTTTGGCCATTGCGCTGGATACCATACTAAGTTGGGGGAACAGGGATTTAGCGAGGAAAACAAACAGTCCAACTCATACTGTAGGCCACGAAAATACCAGTTTTTCCCCGAAGGAACTGGTATTTCCGTGGTCATCCCAACTTCTCAAATGGTACTGGGTGGGTGGGTGCGGTTGTGATGAATCGAACAGAAAGTACGCTGAACGAACCTAGATAAACAGCCATGTTATTCGCAGGACTTCTCTATTCAATTACCGCCAACATTACTAAAGAAGAGTAACAGATCCATGACCCTTGATGTACGTACCGTAGGACATACTTAGCCTGTGGCTCACGGCTCGTCAAAGTAGCCCGGCATCCGGCGTAGAACGATTCCGTCGGTTGTCCGCGTGATCTACTGGTGAGGCTTGTTCACTCTGTCAATGCCCACTGATCATCTTGGACATTCACAGTCGTTTGAACTTATGAACAATTCAGTGGTCAGGCCATTCGGGTACACGGAGGTTCACTGCCTTTTTTCAATAACATGCTGGGAACAGTGATAGATCACCGTAATCATGTGACACACAGGTTGCATCGGGAGGTGTAGAAACAATCAGAGTAAGAGCCCACGATTTGCAGAACGCGCAGCAATATCTATAGAAAAGATAGCGATGAATAGAGTACGTGCTATTTATTTGAACGCCAATCACAATTATTATTTGTTTGATCTGCGCGATTCCAGCTGCCCCCTGAAAATTTTCAGTTCTTTCCATAAAGGAAACTACTCACAAGGTTGCTGAAAACTCATCGACAGCCCACGACCGGTTTCGCCCTTCTTGGGGCTCATCAGGTAGGCGCAGTCCCCTAGTTTCCGTCAACCTTACGTTCTACTTGAACCCAATTTGGACTATTTTCGAGAAATTTGGTTTTCACGAGCGACTCAACAAAATCCCTCCTTTATGACAATGTACTGCGATAGCTCGAATATCATCCCAACTGAATCATGAGGCAGCCTGTGTGCAGCACATTCAATTGTAGAATATTTTCAGTTCTGTTTAAGAACCGACATGGTCAAATAGGACGATTGCTGATCATCTGAAACACGTGACCACTCGAGTTGAGGACTCCATCGTCCGCTGCCTTCGCGAGCCAGTAGTCCAAGAAAATCGCCTCCGAATCAGCTGGTCTCTGCCCGCACTTCCGGATGAGGCAGCCAGCTACAGTAAACAGGCAAAAGGCATGTGACATGATCCATCTGTCCAGCGAATCCGTTGAAGCAGACAGTTGACATACAAAGTCACTGCAAGTACAGAAGGTCAACGTTGAACATTTCAACAATCTAGCCCAATGATCAGCTGTATGTCAATTTAGATTGCTTGATTCAATGCCCTACTGATGGCTGTTTGGTGACAATCATCACACATGCAGCAGATGAGGTGGCCCCATTTTCGAAACAGACTGAACCCAGTTCGATAAATTCTACGATTCTGTCAGACTGCGTGCATTGAATTCTGATTCCCGGGAGCAGCGGGCCGAATTGAGCTGTAGATGAGAGACTCCCGCTCTAAACCTACGAGAATGAACTCCTGCAGGACAAAACAAGGCTGCTCCAACCAGACTGATGTGTTTTCGGAGTGACTCAGAGCTTCCCTCAAGTAATTTTTGATAGTGGACGTTTGATGTAGCGTCGAATAATAGGTTGTATTTTCGAAGACAACTTGAAGATGTGATTTTGGGGGCCGAGGTCCCGAACAAAGCGATAAACAAATACTATGCCCATTCTTGTCCGTCTTTTCGCAGAAGTAATTTTACTCTTCCAACAACGTAAGCAAAGAATATTTCGGGTGTAGGATGTTTTTCTGTCAGTTGAGTGTTCGATTCATTCACTGCAACCAAGTCAAATCCAAGAGAGCTTTGTTCATCCGAGGGTGGATTTTCATTTTAAAAAACTGCGATGATGTCAGGTGGTGACGAGCATGGCTACAGTGCAATAGACAGGCTCAAGCAAGCAGGAAAACTTGCCCGGGGTTGATTTGTCAATAAATAACCAACAACGAGACATCGAGCCACTTTATGGCAGGTTTCAATACGAGCAGATTGTACGTCGAATTCAAATCGCGTGATATGGGCGAAACGGGTTTCAAATAAAATGTGTCGAAGAAATAGTTGAGTATGCAAAAAATCTCCGTGAACGTTTTGAGAGGGCTTCATACAAACTTTACAGACAGAAATATGTGAATAAATTACATCTCATCTCGGAATGTTGTGCAATAATCTTGATGAATTGTGCTGGTTCTCCAGTATAACAAGGGGACGATACATCCAGTTTTTGACGAGGAACTTCCCTACGCCTATATGCTCCTCGTGTAGATAACTTCCTCAGCCTGAGTGGGTAAAAAGGTAGTACAAGATGGTTCAAGTGGTTTGAGCGCGAATTTACCGACCGGAAGGTTCGTGGTTCGGACCCACATCTATCTCTCGATTTCCTCTGTCTAGGCTTGGGCAACCTGGCAGTATCCCAGTTCTCGTGCCTCCTTCGTGTGGCATGGCAGCTGGGCACCAAAAGGGTGCTACAGCTGAACGATGAAATGTTTTTGTTAAGGTTAGATTTGTGTTATAGTGGGCGGAAATCGTTATTCCAAAGTGCTTCGTGGAGCTGGGTTTCGGCAGGCTAATCTTGATGACAATAAGGATGGAGCCGAGCCTAGAAGAGCACTTTCCGTTAGGCAAAGAAAACGTATCTCTGCCCACTTCACAGGTTCGCTGAATCCGGTTTTTATGTTCACTTATGATTTGAAAATGTGATTGGGAAGATTAATGCTTGTAAACATCATAAACGAGAGATTCAGCTGAATTCCAAGTGAGTCTCCCGTCAAAATCAAACTGGCATGCGGAAGAGTGTAAAAGTCAAATTCCTTGCAATTTGAGTTCAACTGGGACATAAGGCTGACTGGAACTATGCCTACCTGATGAGCTTCGGGAAGAGCTAAATCGGTGGTGGAGTGTCGAAGGATTTTCAGCAACAATATAAGTAGTGTGTAACGCCCATATCAATAACATCTTGGTCATGTAGAGAGCATAGGAGAATCAAAAACGGGTGCTCTGACAGTACGTGCCTACTTAGGACACTAGCGACGATGGTCAGTGGTTAAGATTTTTGACACTAACTGATGGTAGCGGTCGTTAATACGGACAAACGCGTTATAAGGGTCCAAAGTAGATAGCCCTGTCATTATTATCAAGTGGACGAGCGGCCAGGTGAGCGACATGTCCAAACGCACCTAGCGTAGAGTGCGAAAGTTGGCAAACATACTGGTGTGGGACACTGGACCTGCGCCTCATTGAACCGTGCTGTTTCGGTTATATACAGGACAGCAGAGGTGATGGTTATGAATTGAAGGATACTGGTTCTTTTTTTCGACCCTAAGCGCAGAGCACGGTTCGGTCACTTATTCGATGATTGCGTCAGCACCGTCCTTGTGCGGTAGGGGTAACTGGAGGTTGGAACCGATGCTTTCTTGGGATTGTGTTGTGTGTGTGTTGCTTACGCGCTGTAACAACTGTGTGGTTGCGTTCACAATGGGTGCTGGATGTCACAAAAAGTGTGGACAAATTGACAGTTAAGCCTGCCAAGGTCATTTATTTGAGAAGAGAGGTTGAAAACGCCATTGTAAGCTGCCTTAGTACAGGTTACATCCCAAGACAACGCCAAGAAGTATTCAGATGTACATTTTATCTAAACGATTGCTTTTTACTGCCTTGTGAGTTTCTTCACATAAGGGGCTACTCAATAGGCATCCTTATATGGGCTATTTTAACCATGCTATAATGATTAAAACAACAATTATGATACGTCATTAAACAAACGGATCCTGACCGTAAAAGATGGAAACTGTCAGCGATAGATGTCACATTCTCTAGTTGGTTGGATAATTCTTCTGCTTCAGTATTAAAAAAAAACAGTTTTAAGGGGCAGTGTAACTTTTAAAAATTCCTGGGACTGAGTGGACCACACTTGAATGTGGAAATATGGCGCTGTTGTTTTCTACCAGTCTAAGCGAGCCACAGATGTACCGTACAGCGTGATTTAAGAAATAAACCGCCAATTGCAGTAAGGTCGGCGGCCAGCACACAAATGGGTTGACGCAAGCATGCTGTAAACTCAGTGGATGGAATGTGAAAAGGTGGATAATTTGTGGGCAGCAATACCGAGTTCACAAGATTCACCACTAACCCAAGTAGTACTGGGAGGTGGATAAACTCTGCCAACCAATACAGCGTTAAATTTACAAAGTGTGGGGAAATTTGTTACCTTTGCATCACAAGTTTACCGTGTGCTCAGTTTATATGCTCTACTATTGTTTTACAATGTGGCGCGTACTTATCCGCATTGTCCCTCCTAAAACTGATATTAGTTTCCTCTCCATTCTCCACATAACGAGGGAGAAGAGCATGATGAACACTCATGGAACAAGATTTTCCTCCTTGTTTATAGTTCTCAAGGTAAAACTTTATAGTGGGTGCAAAGAACGACATTCCTACATTGCACAACTGACAGTGATGGGAGGGTCCGTTTGAAAATGGTCAGAATAGCCCAGCTGATTAATCTCGTTTTCCATGTTGTTGCATGAGACTGGTTATTCAACACACAGCTTGGAAGTTGATCGAACCAAACAGATCTTGTCGGTCTATTTGGAGCTTCTCAGTGCTAGACCAATAATTCTTTTTTTTTCAACGGAAGTAGGCGGTGAACATGCGTTCAGTGGTCTGACTTTGCAAACTGAACTCCACTCTTCAAAATCTAATCATTCATTGGCAGCAGATGGTTTCCTGCAAGATTCGAAACGTAAAAAATGCCGATTTTACCCTTTTTGGGAGAATTTAGTGAAGTGAACACAATGCCAAACACGAACATCGGTCCTCCGTTTCAAACCGCCGGTTATCAAGGTATTACCCGGAAGGCAGCTATAGTTTATAGCTACAAATTATGGGCGCTAATCGTAGACAAAGTGAATACGACGAAATGTGATCTGAATGCCTTATGAAAGATTGCATTAGGTTGAGCATTCAAATGCGTTTATAATGTGTTAAACACAAGGTTGATGAAATCCATGGGTAACATTTTTTATGCTGCGCATTCGTTTGAGGAGCGCCACAGAACTCCTTTGAGTCTAACGTTGATATCCCTTCGGCTTAATTGACTGTAGCCCTAACACAGATTGTGCAGTAAACACACCCATATGTCGTTCAAATTCTGGTACACATGCTGAACAGTAAGACAGGATTCTAATCAGTTTCTTCCCGTATACCTTGCTGAGTCTTGTCGTCAAACGCCTGTTTCGACCTTGTCCTGCCGGTAGATGTGTTCTCTTCCGTTAGAATTCTTAAGTTATCAAACGGAGTATAATTAGATCCTTCTGGCAGAGTTTTCTCACTTAAAGCGGATATTTACACCGAAAGGGTTTCAAGAATGGATCATCCTTCAAGCTACATATACTTGATTTTCAGGGTAATATGCTTTCGATAGAACAATATTACACCCACAGTGAAATAGACCCATCGAGGTGACAGTTATGTTGGCATGGATCGGTTCACTGATATCCTTCTATGAGGAAACCTAGGTCCCACGATATTCCAAAGAGTGGATTCAGTCCATAAGAGGGAATATCAGTGAAAATACTCCATGCTCGCAACAAAAATCTACCCGCTAAAAGTTGATATCACAACAAATGATAATCCGTAATCTCACCGTATCAGCAGGGAGTTCTAGAGAGGGCTAAGCATGGTGTAGCTAGTAACTCGGTCTGGTATGAAATCTGATGGTAACTCGACGCGATGCGATGCACGTCGATCATTCACTAGTGATGATCACGCCGGCATTCATTTCCTAGGTTGAGTGATTGACTTTCAGGTATTTTTTTCATCTTCTAGACCGTGATGCAAAGCGAATGCTCTTCTCCATA